AGAAGGAAAGGGAGAGTTCAATCTTGGCCAGGGAAAGGAGGACCGTCACTATTTGATTTTCAACCCCATCGTCCCTTTGACGACGTGGACCGTAAGTCGATGGCCGTCGGGAGGCGGACGATCGACTTTGAATCTCCTTTTATCGAGTTACGTAACGCCGCGAAAGGCAGCCGGGCAAGTTCTTTGTCTATCGGGCCATCTGTCATCCCCGAAGAGCCCCCGACGTTTGCTCGTCAGGGGAGGGTGTTGGGACAGCGACGTGGGCGTCACGGCAGCGCGTTTAGACGACCTACTTGTGTTTGTAAATGCCTGCTCGCGGCTCTCGTCTGGGCAGACGGTACGCGTGTATTCCCACGCAACGCCAATACGATGAGATACGATCGCGATAAAAGAGAGATAGCGCGACAAGTAGAAGCGAACCTCTGGGATACGTGTGTATCGAGTATTGATTTTCCTCGTACGGAGTTAAGCCAACGGGGTAAGCCGAGACGCGACAAAGTTTATTAATCCTGGGGGCAGCGAGCGCGTCTGCGTGGCCCCGGCCATGGCGAAACGCGCGTTTCACAGGGATACGAAAACTTTTCATGTCGTTTCGCGGCCGCCGCAACGGAATTCATACGTTTCGACGGTGAAACGCCCACCCTTTCGAAATAGACTTTCTGGCTAAATAGTAATTGAAGAAGATGGATGGACACGGGTGATAAGTTGCACCTTTTCGATTTCACGGCGAGGCGATCGCGAAGGAAAGTGTCGCTGCCGTTCGATGGACGAGGGAACTCCGGATAATGTGGACAGCTAAGTTTGACTCATAAAATGACAAAAAAAACAAGAATAACGCGGCATTCTCATTTTTCGCCTATGTCGTTTTATTAGTTACATCCGTGTATGGAAAATTTGTGTACGTCGAACAAAGTTTTTTAATTCAATTTCCAACAAATTTTGCAAAGTTATATAGTTGATATTTTAACTTTCAATTTTTAAATTTCATCGTTGATCCCTCCAGCAGTTTCCCAAATAATAAGTTTTATATATAATTAAGTAAATCATTTATATTGACTGGTGTTACATATACATTTCAAGAAGACACATAATAATTGAGGCGTTTGATGGAAGAAAGGCAAACACGCCTATGTTTCAAATTCTGAGAAAGATGAAATTAAAAATGATGAAAAAATGTCAATGAGTTTAGAGATTGTTGTATATGTACTTGTACTAATAAGCAACAGATGTCCAATTAAAACGAGCCTGCAAACCAACCCTGGTGGTTATAATGCAAATTTTGAGTACGTTTATATAGATTACAAATTAAAAATGACGTTTTATATATTATACAACGAATTATAAATATTGAATTATGGAACATGATATTAAATTTATATTTGAATGGAAGTTAAGTGAAATATCTTTTACAAATATATGAAAGGAAAATTTGATCCAAAGTTATCATCAGCCTGTGCATAATACACAAGGGGGTCGGCCACCTCTGGAAAAAATTTGAATGGGAGATTCTAGAGGCCAAAATAAGACGAAAGTCAAGAATACCAATTTGTTGATTGATGCTTTGTTACAATGTTATTAATGTTTAAAGTTCTATACCGAATGGAAAATTTTTCGGTGAAATTAAAACATTTCAAATTGTTTTGAAAAAATTAGTTTTAGTTGTTAGGGTCGATTACAATCATTTTTGGTCATCAGACATACCCCCGAAATCCTACGCACTTTCGAGAAAAAAATTCCTTACCGAAAATCTAATGTGAGGCCAGAAATAGTTCCCCGAAATTTCATGCGAATCTTTAAAATATCATAACTTCTGAACGGATTGGAGGATTTTAATGTTTCAAAATGCAAATAACGCGTATTTTAGTGGAGAATATGTAGAAATCCTAAAAATATTCAAGAAATTGTTCCTTAACCCCGTAAAGTGAGAAAACCCCCATAAAAATGGTTCAATTTTTAAACGACCATAACTCCTACAATAGTGAATATATTTCAATGGAATTTAGGGGGGAAGTAGAGCTCATCGGTAACCACAAAAAAGTACTAAACAACTTTTCCGTACAGCGTTAAACGAATTTTTAAGAAAAATCGACAGGGGGTAGGTGCCTAAATTTTTCGACGAAAAAAAAATTTCAAATCGTTCTGAAAAAATTATTTTTAGCTGCGAAGGTCAATTACAATAATTTTTGGTGAATAGACATACCCCCGAAATCCTATGCATTTTCGAGAAAAAAATTCGTGTAGGTGGACAAATTTTATTAATAATTTTGTTAATATCTTTTTAGCGAAGAATCAATCAACAAATTGGTATTCTTGATTTTCTTCATATTTTGGCCTCTGGAATACCCCATTAAAATTTTTTCTAGGAGTAGTCGAGCACCCCCTACATATGTAATAATAACATTTTGTATTAAATATTTTCAACCATACAGAGCTATTTAAACAAGCATTCTTAAATTTATCGTCTTTAAATAACCATTTTTCTAGTCACGACGTTCTTGACTCGTGTACTAATGATACTTAAGAATCAAAGTTATGGTAATCGCGAAAGTTTTTAAGAGGGTTAAATAAAAGGAATATCAACGATGAAAGTATATAGTGGCAATATTTCAGTATTTGTAAAATGTTAAATTTAAAAGTTTGGTATCCATGAACAGTTTGAAAGCTTTTGCCGCGAAACATACAGCCGCCAAAGTGTTAAGTGCGTCACCCTGGATATGGCAATAGAAGCACGAAATGCAAGAGAAGCAATTCACGAAGAAAGTGTTTAAGTCTGTAGGCCTCTTTCAACAAGGGAACCACACGAAGTTTTATGCGCCAATGTCAATGAAACTTCGTAGGCAGCTGAAAACCCCGAAGAATATTTCACCCACGCTGCAATCGTACGCGCAAACACTCAATAATTTACCAGATATTTAAAAATAAACGATGGTTTCGTTACTTTTCGGTGCTCTATTTGGTTGTAAAGATTTATTAAAACCGGCGGGTTGAACAAAAAATAATAAATTGTAAATACTGAAAATTCTCCACAGTTTTATATTTACTTTACAATAAAAGAATGGTAACACGTAATAGTACAAATGTTTCAACATTCGACAAAAACGAGCACGTGAAATAGTAAATGGAATCTAACAAGTATGAATATTGGACAAACGGGATACACGATGATCCTTAAAATAGGGAATCTGTGTAAAAATAGGGACAAATTCCAAAAAATCGGAATTTGTAGTCACCCTTACTTCAGGCAGGAGTTTCGTCTTAACTCTCGGTGGCGTATAAATTGGTCAGAGGAAAGGCGCGGTTACGGGAACGAAGGAAAGGAACGCGGGAGAACGACGGGGAACATCTAATACATCATAAACTTACGAACAAAGAGGAGAGAGGATGTCGTGGTAGCACCGGAGAATACGCCGGCTCCGGTATCCTCGGGACAAAACTTTGCCTATTTGTTAAGTCTTGCCCCGCCGAAACTGTCTCAGATACCGCCGTCGAACTATACCTCACACCTATGACCTCCTTAGTCTCATCCTTCTTCCTTCCTAACCCTCGCTGCCGTTCTTCCGATACCTTGTCTCGGTGCATCCTTCGGCGGGATGCTGAATAGGAGCCACAAAGACGCATTCTGATTCGCGAAATTTGTCTCCAACGAGGGAAATTGATGATGCAAGCTAATTCAACTACGCCAGTTACCGCCTTCGAGCGACAAAATCGGGACTCGCGACTTTAATCCCAGTTCGATCGAAATAAGTGTTTCGTATTTTTTTACACACGTTCGTAAAAATATTATCAGTGGATTCCCGACGTTTTGCCGGTGAAAACAAACCCAAACACAATCATAGGCTTTTCAAAATTTAAGATTTTTTTCAAGTGTAATTCAAAATAATCGAAATAGGGTCATGTTTGGACTCGTTTTCATTGAAATACCCTTACCAGCCCATTTATAATGCGACCGTTAAAATGCGTTAGAGAAAATATTATCTTTTTATAATTGCTTGAAAAGAGCTACAAAACTAGCCCTTTCCCTTTCAATCATATTATAAAAACAAGGAAAAAAACAAAATAATTATAACGTTTACTACGTAACTACCCTATCAATATTATCTGAACTACAAGGACGATAGGATGAAGAGCTAGACAGTTGAACATAATTAAATTATTAATAAACAGGTTTATTTTTCACGCCCTTTTGGAAAGTCTCTTTCGAAAACATGACGGATCGACAGGCAGTCATACCAGGTGGATCATAGTATTTCGTGCAGCGTATAAATTGACGGCGGAACGGTATTACTATTCTGTGAGCTAATATCTATCAGAAACTAAACTCGTACTAGAGCGGGAATCCCGAATTAAAAAGTTGAGCGTGGAAGCGTGGTCATCTGCATCTAAATTTTCTCTGGTGCAAGTTCGGTGGGCGCGGCGTTTCGAAAGGATTTCAGTGTTTCCGGAGGGACAACTCGAAAAAAAGGCTGATAAAATTTTTCGCCATGCCAACGTATGCGTGATCAGAATTCGCGAAGTTTCGCGCATGTGGTTCGAGGCAAAAGTTCGAGTGCGACTCGCACACATGACATCGCTGTGTCGGAGTGTGCATCGAGGGTGGTGGCGAGCTTTGGGGGGGTGGTTTCATTGTGACGACAATATCGCCTTGGGCGGCATTGGCGAGGCAGAGATGCAAATTTCGTGGAGGACGGGCTCTGTTCTCTGCGTTTTCATCTCACAGACAACGAATTTAGTAATACTGCAAGGGATTCTAACGAAACTCTGTTCTTCGAGGTTTACCCCGAAACAACGACAATTAATACTCCTTTGCGTAAGAATGGAAAGATGCGCCCCCGAACGTGGGATCCTTAACCGCTGTGCGTTTACACAATTTCTATTCGTAGACTGATATAAAAATGGGGGTACTTTGGAAGATTGACTTGTATTAATTTCAAAATGGGGCAAACAATCTCGACCGATGGTATTATGAAAGATTTTCATTTGCATTTATTTTTCTGTTCCAGGGGACAGCATCTTTCGAATCGCCACGGCAACGTTCATCGTAAGTATCCATTTCCTACAAAAATTAGTCGCCGGTGCGCCGTTCGATCTGTTTTCCGCGAGTGAATCGCGAGTGTCCCGTGACGAGGAGCGCAATAGAGTCCCAAGTACAGCGTAACGGAGGCTGACAAAGCTCATCTCGAAGGGAGTTCAGCGATCAGGCATTGTGCACCGTTGTCGATTTCTCAGCGTTCTACGCCAATGCATACGTATATGAGCGCAGGGAACGGGTCGACGGAGGGAAGGGGTTGACAATGCAGCTGCGACGGGGTGGCAGCTCCGTAGTCGTCGTCGTCGTCGTGTAATGTCAGTGGCGATAGCGCGGTGGCGGAGACGAAGTAGGAAGAAGGGCGGTCAGACGTACGGGGGTAGACGAAGGGTACGGGAAGAGTTTGAGGGGTGGGACGGGGACGGAACTGGCAAACGGAGGTGGAGACGCTCTAAGGTACATAATCATGCTTGCTGATTCCTTCCCTAATAAAAGTCTCACTGTCAGCCCATCCCCGACGGGTCGTGTCTAACCCCCTCCCCCCCTCTTTGGCCCTCCGTGTCATCCCCCCTCGCGGAGATCCACCTTCTCCGTGGCCGGGTTGCTTCTGCACGGTTGCAAGTCGCGCGCACACGCATCGCATAGACAAAAGTGCATGTGTGCTCGCGAACGTACCCTGCAAACCGGGTCCGCGCGATGCACCACCCTTGCAACCTAGCTGAGTCCCCGTGACAGAGTAAGCAGTAAGCCCGCTGTGTTAGAAGACAAAAGTAGCGGGGGTGTATGCGCCCCCCGGGTGGGCGGGGGCAACGCGAATTACGCGAGATACGGGTCAGAAATGCTTGCTGCAGTACCATCCGAAGTTGCAATCTTTTTCATCTCCCGATATCCACTCGAAGATTACGTACTCTCTCCTCCTCGTACCGTTTCGTTCCCTCTTTCTACCACTGTTTGTCGTCTCGCCCGCGCTGCCGATACCAACGACTTAGGCCGATGAGTACGCGTTCGATCCTATCGAGATCCTTACCAAGAACGAATCGCAAATTAATTCAGCTTTGTCGGCGGACCGTCGACCGGGACGCTGATCTTTGCTCCTCTCTAATGTTAATAGGCACCTCTGAGCATCCTGAGGTTCACCGTTTGCACAAACGACGCGCATTTTACTTGTTCGGATACGTCTGAAGTGGATGTGTCTATCGAGAGGAACAAAATTAGTCTTCTAATCTTCTTTTGCAGAATAGTAGATTACGTGTCCTGGTCGTCATGTGCAAAGTACAGTAATCTCTCATATCCACCAATTTCTAGAATTGGTCTAGAGCCTAGTCATTAAATGTTCATACATAAGGCTAACCATACTACTAAAAATAAAGAAGAAAAAATACATAAGAACTGAACGTTGGATTCACTGAAAAGACGTGAAGCAATTAAAAATACGATTAGCTGGTGAATGTGTTAAAAGGCATAATTACGTAACATTATTAACTTTTGCTATTTTTAAATTGAGCTACCATACAAAAATCATGTATTTTGCAAAACAGCTACTTATGTACTTTAATTTCTGAACAATTTTAAAATCTTTAGAATAAACAGACGTTCTTCTCTCTATTTAACTCACTCTGAGTATTTCTTACTTTCGTCTGCAATGCTATCCAGGTTAACAGAGGTAACAATCGACAATTCAGTACTATTTCCTACTCGATAATTTACAGAAGTAAATTTTGGTGTGTACCATGTACTGTAACTAAGAGTTTCATATTTAGCCACCTTTTTCGACAAAGTAACATGAATGGTAGAAGCAAGAATTTGTATACTTCTTCTTTTCTCTTCTGATGAGTGGACTCATTTATAACTCTAACAAATAGTTTATAACTGCAAAAGAAGATCAAAATCGAAGGCTAACAATTTTGGTCCTTCTCTTGTTAATCATAAATAAAAAATCATGATTTTTTAAGACTCCTTTGATTTGTGCGAGGTGTCTTTTAGCCAAACTATTGTTTGTATATTATATGATCTATTTTTAAAAAAATGACAAATGTGTTTCCATAATATCTTCAATAACATAAAGTTCTTCGATAAATATTTTTATTCTTTATTATTAGTAGTATACAGTAACAAATGTTCATTTTTCGCGAGACATTCGACATCACTTACATGCAACGAAACTCAATTTACAATAATTCTTGTTCTGGTATTGTACATGATTTCCTAAAATGTATTTGCGTAATGTAATTTTGAAATTCTTTTTTTAACGTAAAATTCACAATACACTGTGTAAAATTAAAGCAGTGTTCTTGGTTCGTATACAAATGATAAGAACTGTAAAATGTATGTGCATTTAAATTGTAAATTGACTCGTACACGTAGGTACGTGTCCAATTGGATAAATATGGCGGTCAACGTGTTAAAGGCTAGAATAATAGATTCGCATCGCTTCTGCTCTCGAGAATGTAATCCTACAATGAAGCATGTTTGCACCAACTCAGTTTCACACTAATTCACTGCGGCAGTTCATATTTATTATTTTCCAGCAAATTAATTCGATAAAATAGTTAGAATGTTAACAAAAATTAAATGTCAAAAATACATATATTCTCGTGTCAGTAGAAATTAATAAGAACCAAAAAAGTCATCGTTTCGTCGTGATTCGAAACAAGTTGCACTTAATCTCCTTGGGATTTACCTTGACTATTAAATCAGATACAACGCTGGATCCCCTTCCAGAAATCTGATCCAAATCGATGGAACAGAAGAGCGTACGCAAGCATATCAAAAAATAAAAAGAACCGGACCATTCATGGTGCGGTTACCCTCGAGGTTGTTAATGCAAGCCAAGGGTAAGGGTACAGTCTCGGTGTCTTCGTTTCAGGGTCGATTTTTAAAGGGCCGAGCGTTCGAGGGTCCTTGGCCCAGACAGGTCTCAAGGTGCATGTCTCTGGTGGATTTAAAAGGCCCTCAAGGTGGTCGTGTATAGGGAAAGAACCAGATGGCTCGACCTACCCCACCTTTCTTGTCCTTCTGCTTCTTCCACCCACGTGTCTAGGAGCTCGAACCAGTCTCGACATAAAAATGGATTTTCGTTTCTCTTTCTCTCTTATCCCTTCCCTTCCCCCCTTCGTGCCTTGTATCCATCTTCACTGCCACAGTATCCTCCACGAAACGAACCACCACCCCTCCTCCAGAATGCGTTAATAACGCATCTCGATGCGGCCGAGAAAACTCTACCGTTCGACATATGTTCCAAAGTCATTGTGCGGCACGCGGGGAAGAGACGATGCAGTTATGGCTTTTAATGCGGTTCGTTTTTAATGCCGTTAAGCTCCCGTTAGAGAGGAGCGCTCCGAAATTGGGACCGGATATCGTGGAGAGGGCCAGCCCAATCTGTCGCGATGGATAGGAAGGGCGTTCGAAGAAAAGATACGAAACGTTCGCTGGTTTTTGTTTCTTTCTTTTGTGTAGTAACCATTTTGTTCGCTGGCCCGCTGCGGTTCTCTGATTCCGCGATGAATTCTGAGAGGCACGCGCGAACCTTGATTCGAAAACGTAACGGGGTTTGGGAAGGTTGGAAAATGGTGTCTGGAGAGGCTCTTTGCATAACGTTAGTGGACAGATGTTCCGCGAGACGGGAGATAAATACTGGTGCGATAGCACTCGAGAAACGTCGAAGCGTTAATAGTTCGTTTATTACAACGTTTCGGTCCCATCTTCTTTGATTTAATACACGAATAATATAGATTTCGCTAAATAGCTTTTAATAATCGATGCATTTTGTATTGTTATTCCAAGTTACTTCTCTCTTCGAATATTCCATAGATTCTAGGGAAGATAGTAATCTATTGAAACAATATCAAAAGGAACGAAAGGCAAAGCATGACCATTCATGATAGAAATTAGAGAACAGCGTCTGCCAATTACGTGTTAATATTCATTTCTACAAATTATTTTCCACCAATGTCTGGCAACACTGGTATTATATTAGTTATACTAAACGGGTTTATAAAGCAAACAATAACGTAAACCGATCACTAGTTCGCAGATATACCTGATATTATCTATTAATTATTTTTTTATCTATAACTTTCCATTCCATTTTAGTTCCAATGAAGCACGTTGTATTTACCAATATATCGTATAATTTGTTGCAGATGCCATATATAATTTGAATTATGACACTTGATTTATTTTTGCATATAAAATCTTCTTCTCGGTTATATGCTCCACTATGGGGCACCTTGTATAATATCATCGTATACAATGCGAACAAGAGAAAGAAGGGACTAAGAAATCGGAGCGCCCACGAATAGCTCCCAATTTTGGGCGCGGGGTCCGGACACAATTTGGCAAAGTTTCCAGGTGTAGTGTTCAGAAAGGACACGTTCGGCACGCGTTTGGGGCAGAAAAGTAAAGGTACACCGCGCAGACAAAAGGCTCCACGGTCTCGACATTATGTTTACCACACGAAACACCCCCGCAACGCCCCGACGGCGAACCGGATGTCTCCTGCTGAGAATTATCAGGACGGATTTACGAGCGACGACAAATCGGTCTTCAGTTCTTTTCCTTCGACCGAAGCGTTAAAGCGACCTGGTCGTTCTCGTTATTGGCCACTTTGGCACAGTTTAAGACGCCCAAAGCCACTTTATAGAGGAATACACCGGACAATGACGAACTTCGCTTTGTACATCTTTATGGGTGCCGCTATAATTAGCTCGGATCTTTTCTCGAGTCGAGGAAGCAGACGCTTGGGGGTCGTGGACAGATTTTCCTTAACAACCGCCGGCCCTTTTCTCGGGTGTTAATAGAGCAAAAGGCTAGCGTCCGATTGAATGGACGAGCACAGTGATATTCTTAGACCTGTCGAAGCTTTGTTAACCTTCGCATTACGAAAAAAACATTTCAATTTCGTAATTATCAAGAGTAAATGCCGACAAGCTGGATGATCTTATTCTCCTTTCACCTTTGATAGGAAATTTCAATAATTTTTCTTTTATGCTTTTGATTCGTTTTTTATTTTT